ATGCAGTGCCAGTTATTCTGCCCATCTATAAAAAAATTAAATCTGGTTAATTCTCACTAATCAATTACCATGATTAATGTTTTAATTTCGGCAGCTCTTAGTTAGAAACCAGTGAAAAAACTGTGTTTTAAGAGTGTGATTTGATGTGCCTTACTTTTGGGGAAGAGTTCAATACTAGGTGGCAGCAGATTACGTTATAAAAACTAAAAAGACAGGAAATTGTTAAAGACGACTTTTGTGAGACTTTCTTCAATTCCTGCGATATATCAGCATGGTGTTCAACTCAACTGATTTTAATGAGTAATGAAATTGAATATATTTCATAACATTATATTTGCAATTTGTGTCTTTTTTGTTATAACTGTAATATGTGTCCTGGCCCTTAAACGAACTGGGCAAACTGGTCTGAACCAGCTGTGATAAAAGTGTAAACTGCACTCTCACACTTGGATCTGCGTGCGAGGCGGTCCGCCCGGAGGCTGCAGACCGCCACATCTCAGGCCATTTCATTGATGTCCTGTTCCCTGGCATGTTGCACACAGCGGGGAGATCAATATGACCTTACCTCCACCACCCGCTCCTTTGAAACTTAATTACTGATATTCGGCTACAAAGTCATCATAGTCCAACTGTCAATATTCATTGGGGATCATTACGGCCCTAATAAAAGAGGTTATTTACGGGCTGCTCTGCTGACACCCGCCCAGGTCCAGGAATGCAGCCGCAGCCATCTCAATTTGCTCTCTCTCCCTGTCCTTCTCTTTCTTTGTGTCTCTCTTTCCTGACACACACAAACACACACACACACACACACACACCACCCAGAAGCAATGACCTGAAAAAAAAGGAAAAAGAAAAACTGACAGCAGAGAAACTAACAGGACACAAGACGGAGGGTGAAATCTTCCAACACAGCTTTTGAATTCTGTGTTTTTTCAGCCACCCACCTCCTAAAGACCCCCCGCCCCTCGCCCCCCCACCAAGAACTGTGCCCCACACTGGCACCGCAGGCCCGAGACCCGCAAAGGGATATTCGATGACATTTAGAGAAATGTCGTTCAGATTCCCACACTTCTTGCAAAGGTGGAGCTTTAAACTCCTCAGTGATTATTCTCCAGTCCTTTTCTTTCTCGGCACATATCACATCGGTACCAGAAGCAGCACCGCGCGACTCCCGCTTCTGAAATTGTGCAAAACAGGACCACTGCTATATGTTAATTCATTCAATAAATCAATTGCTTCACTGTAATTGAAAAGGGCGGCCATCCAGTGTTGGAGGTCTATGCTCAAAACTAAAAGGTGGAACAGTGACCTCTGGGGATCAGTAGCGGTACTACATACAGGAAAACGCCTATGATTCTCAGTAAACACACACACAAACACACTCATTTCCTTATCTCTCGCTCTCTGTCCTTTAAAGACCAAATATCCTTCTGTCCAAACACACACACACACACACACACACATTGAACTGGCCTTCCTTCTTAGTGTGTGATTAATGTTGTCCGTTTTACATCAGTACACTGGGTGCCAATGCACACTGTGCTGCCTTTCCTGAGCAATTAGAAGAGGGTTTCCACCAGTGTGTGGATTATCAACAACAAGAAGCCTCCTGATGTGAGCTCTACAGCCTGCTGACTTATTCATATGTGTTTACTTTAAAAGCCTCCATCCTGCTTTTTGTGGCTGGGCTGCGAGGCTGCATCAAATTGAAGCAACAAAAAAAAAAACTATCTGGGAAGTGGAAGAGAGGAAGTGTGGAAGTGTTCCACAGACAGGCACGGTATGGCCCCCTGAGAGGCGTGTGAGCGGGCAGAGGAACAGGGCCACAGATGGACTGAAAATAGGAGTTCTCAGTGCGGATTTGTGTTGTGCCAGGGAGTAAAGTTGGTGAGAGAACACGAGGTAATGAGTAAATAGAAGAAATCAGTGTCATTTCATGATTCCACATTAGAGGAGAAGTGAACCACACCTGCATCAATTATTAACATCTCTTTGTTTTGGGATTTGCGCTTTTGCAGTTTTAGGGGTGTCACAAAGTGAAATCAAATAATTGTCTAGTCGCAGCAGAGCTCCTCTCCCGCTCCGATGTAAGCTGCGTTTCTTGGTTGTAGTTTTTTTTTAATGTGCTTTCTTTTCCCACATCAATGCCTGAGCATGAATAATTAAAGAAACTCTCAAAGTCTAATTCAACACTCTCTCGTTTGCCTCCCCCGCAGGGATCCCAACAAGCCGGTTCCTCAAGACACCAAGTTCCTCCACACCAAGGCGAACCGCTTCGAGGAGGTGGCCTGGTCCAAGTACAACCCCCAGGACCAGCTGTACCTGCACATCGGCCTGAAGCCGCGGGTGCGCGACCACTACCGCGCCACCAAAGTGGCCTTCTGGAAACACCTGGTGCCCCACCTGTACAACCTCCACGACATGTTCCACTACACCTCCACCACCACCAAAGTGCCCCCCCCAGAGACCACGCAGAACACCCTGTCCACCAAGAGGCCCAACGGGAAAACCTCCTGGCCACTGAACACCAAGCGTCCACCCATGTCCCCGGCCTACAACAGCGAGAACGAAGACGTGACGGGCCCCCTGGTGGTGGAGAATCCACGGGATTATTCCACCGAGCTCAGTGTCACCATCGCCGTCGGAGCGTCGCTCCTCTTCCTCAACGTGTTGGCCTTCGCCGCCCTCTACTACAGGAAGGACAAGCGGCGGCAGGACTCTGGTCACGGCCAGCCCAGCCCTCAGCGCCAGACCACCTCCAACGACATCGGCCACCACGCCCCCGAGGAGGAGATCATGTCGCTGCAGATGAACCAGACGCACCACGAGTGCGAGGCGGGAAACAGCAACGAAGGAGCGCTACGCTTGGCCTCGCTGCCCGACTACACGCTCACCCTGCGACGCTCTCCGGACGACATCCCCCTCATGACCCCCAACACCATCACCATGATCCCCAACTCGCTGGTGGGCATGCCGAATCTGCACCCTTACAACACCTTCACGACCGGCTTCAACTCCACCGGCCTGCCACACTCCCACTCCACCACCCGTGTATAGCTTTAGGAGGCGGCCAGTGTAGGCAGCAAGGGGGCGGGAGGGGAGTGGAGGTGGCGGAGGAAGAGCCAGCAGATGAACAAACGGAGGAGAGGATTGTGTTTTATAAATATCACAGGGATGGGGAGGGGAAGGGCAAGAGTGGGATTAAAATATGAAGAGATTTAACTAGACTTATACAATGAGGAGAGTTGCTGAGAGCTCTCTTTGGATGTCAAGATGTGCAGAGCTGCCAAAATCAAACTGCTTCCCTTCTTCTGACTGGGGAGGGGGTATCTTTCTGCAGTGTGTGTGTGTGTGTGTTTTTTTTTTCTAAAATAATCATTTTAAAAGCCTTTTTAAGCAAACCGAGGACATATCGACACCCTTTTTTCCTTGAATTCATAACAGTAATAAAGAAAAGTGCTTTTTATTTCCCTCTCCTCGCTCCTGTGAGACACATCCCGAACAATAGCATCGACGTCAATATTCGCAAAAATGTTTTTAATTGCTTCTTTTTTTGTTTTTACGTGTCATTGCCTTACAAAGCTTGTTCTTTTTTTTTTTTTTTTTTCTATTTTTTGTCATTATTTCTATTCCCTAAGACTATTCCGAGTGGAGCGGATGAGACTCACAGAAACAGAGAGACTGGATCTAGGATGGGAACCTAGAGAATCGAGGTTTTTAAACTCTTTTCTTCTTTCAGTCGCCACTCCAACGGCATTTTAATTTCTTTGTTTAGCTCAAATGAGGAGGATTTGTGTGCGACGGCGCTCGCTGAGAGGAGGCAGAGATAAATAATATGTTACTGTGATTGTTTTATTAAGGGGGGAAAAAAGTGCATCTTTTGCAGCCAATTTATCTGTTAAGCTATCTGATACTCCGATATTATCTCCACACGGTGTGCACGTACACATGCTGCTGACAGCGCCCGTATGTCTGTGTGCATGAGGACTTGAAGGAAGAGACACATTCTGGGGACGTGCAAGGAAGCAATAGTGTGAAAGTGTGTGTGTGTGTGGGTGTGTGTGCATGTGTGTGTGCACCGGGGTTTTTTTTGTTGTTGTTGTATAATGGGGGCGGGGGTTTAAAAGAGTGTGGGCTGGGTAAAAGGGTACCTTCTCATGTCGTTGGTTTTTTTTTTTTTTTTTGGCTTCATCACCAGTAGTGTTTCTGCTGCGTCTCTGGGTGTCTGTCTTTGCGGTAAAAAAAAAAATCTCTTCTGTTATTTTTAAAGGTTCTATATGTCTAATTTCGCTTAAAGATTAAAGAATAAATCTATTATTTTATGTGTAAGAGTTAAAAAAAAAGAAAACGAGAGAGGGCACACGCGCAAGAGAGAGAGAGAGAGAGAGAGAGAGAGAGAGAGAGAGCTAAAGTTGCAGCTGAACTAATCGACATGATTCCATTGACTTTGTAAGAGTTCCTCTCCTGAGGCGGACTGTGGCCTGTCTGCACTGAGCCCACCTGCGTCAGTGCACACTTGTATTTCTTTGAAAATATATATATATATATATAAATATGGGTATACATACATATATGTATAGGGCTTCTACGGCGGTTGGTCTCAGTTAGTGCAGAATCGAACCCCGCGTTCACACTCAAAGACGGCGACACACGGCGAGATTCTGTGAACTGTTGTCATTTGGAACATCCCGAACCAGAACCGCTGCCCCCCGGTGTCTCTCGGTTGTAAGAGCTCTATATTTATATTTATGTATAAAAATATTTACTATTTATTTATGTATACCAGATGCATACATGCTGATTGTGCCATGTGCCAAATTAAAACTGTAAGAAAAAAAAACAAAACATGAAACATCAAGTTTCACTAAACTTTTTCTTCCCTTGAACTTTTTTTTTTATTTTTTAAATCTCTTCCTTTTTTTAAATCTTTTATAAAGTTATGGTTTTCATTTAAAACGTATATAAAAAAAACACCATTTTGCAGAATGCTAGGCATCCATCAGAACTCCTCTTATTTCTCTCGCTGAAACCTTTGAGGAAAAACAGGCTAACAGCTCGGGGCCCAGCGTACACAACTCCAGGTTTTTACTGTAATTCATGCAAAGTAACGTCGCAGCGCGGGGATATTGTGCAGAGATTGTCTTGATGTACTCACATTGCATCCTATTATGCGTTATTCCCCGGGAGGAGTCGGAGTTATTGATGCTGCGAGTAAAACTGACAATTTTAATGAAGTATGGAGGCACACCACAGACGTTCTGCTGCATTACAGTGAAGTGCAGTCATGTGACCTGAGCAGTGATCCTGGATGTTGCAATTCTCAGACATTTCATGCACACACACCTCAACACTGTCTGCCAAGCATCCCATTACAACGTCCCGCAGTATTTAATGATTTGAGGTGCAGCCGAGTGAAAACCACAGTCTGGTCAGCCCGACGCTGAACCTGCCAGTGGCATCAAAAGAAGACGGGGGAGACGGGGGGAGGTGGGGTTATATGAGGGGACTGGGCCACATGAGTCATACTCTTACTGCTGTATTAGCTCTGCGTACCGAGTCGACATCTTCCATGGAGTCACAACCACTAAAGAAATAAACATTTGACTTAAAGCTGGAAAAACCACATGCACTCAAGTCAAAAAGACAATTGTTGGATGGATTTTCCTAACTTTTCAAGAGCCATCTTCATAATTCTTATGGAGGGATGGAGAATGGATTATATTATATATAAAATGACGCTATATATAAAACTGCACCTTGTGCTCTGTATTAACGCCCATTGTTTTATGTGTTTACAAATAGAGTCTATACATTTGTATTTTCATTTTAAATGTTGAAATATGAAAAAAAAGATCTAACGCTTTATGACCCACTCGCAGTACCTTAAAGATCCACTAGAGCAGGTCATTTCTTTCTTCATTTAAAGATACAGTCCACCGTACTGTCCAGTACCAGCCGACCAGAGTTTGATACAAAAAAAGGTTGGGAACTGCTGCTCCTACAGAGGTCACTGACCTCCTGTGACGGACTTATGACTGAATCCACAGCACGATCATGTCATCATTTATACTATCATGATTGTGTGTTAAAGACACTCAAAGTAAGAATTATTAACTACAAAGGAGGAGAAGTGGACAGGTTTGAAAAACAAAGTCAGAAATTGTGGGTGACCTCTTGACCTCCAGGTCCTAATGCAGGGTATTTACCACAGCCACAGAAGAAGGAGGTCTGTTTTTCCAACTTTATCTACGATTGCAGCAGCAACTTTTGCTAATTCTCCATATGAATTTTATAGTTATGGCCAAAGCCCCCCCCCCCCCCCCTCACCCCCCAGGCAGCCTATCACAAAAATCTAGTTCTGGTCTTTTCCTCTTTCTTTCTGCCTCTAATCCATTTGCAGCAGCAGGAGGTCATTTTCTGTTGGTCATTCCAACAGACACAGCAGCACTGGGCTAAAAATTGAGTGGTGGAGCTGAGAGTGAGCCATCAAAGGGGGGAAATATCAGGGGATGCTGACCTATTTCTGCAGTGTAACTTTCCCGTGCGCCGTTAAAG